CAAGCATATGCTAAGAAAAATACTGCTGCTTCATATAATTCCTCTCCAGTGCTAAGAAAACCTGCTCGTTAAAGCACAGGAGCTACAGCCAGCCTGAGCCACAACATTTTAAAAGCAGAACTTGATGGATTGTTTAGGAAAGCATGTACTGGGGAGGCTGAAAATCCCCTTGTAAGTGTGGTATGAAGTTTTTACCACAAGAAAAACTTTCTGTTTCTAGCGTGGTTAAAAAGTTTAATCCAGTTGGCTGCTGGATTAAAGTAATTCCAGTTTTGTGCTTTTTCAGTTTTGAATTCTGAATGTTTTAATTTATTTAAAGTTTATTGGTTGACAGGTCTCGCTGATAACTCTCTGACTTTATGTTGAGGGTGATTTATTGGATTAAATATATGTGTGCTGTCTGGCTTGTTAAGAAGTGCCTAGATGCCTAGATTTAGTGTAGGATCTGTTCTAGGGGCATAAGAAGGCTGGGGAGGGAGCACTCTGATGCTGAGCTTTGGCAGAAATAGGCAGAGTCACGCTGTTTAGCTAGGAGAAAAGACTTGCACACAGGACTATGCTGTTTAGCAAGTGTTCTAAAAGTAAACTGGGTCTCCTGTTTCTTAGCCCTATGCAACTGGAACGTGGCTACTCCTGGCCCCCCCTCTATGCACTATCCCAATAGAAATGTCTTATTTTCTTTAAGAGAAACAAGAACTGTATTTCAGCATAGCACTTGGTTGACTTTTATAAGTTTGCAAAACAGTTTAAGTGCAGGTCTGATGTTGAGTAGAGAATGACTGGACCTGGATTCTTGTTCTGCCTTGAAAAGCAGAATTTTCGTTGGGTTTTCCACATGACTCCCCCAGGGTTTTTTGTTTGTGTTTTTCCCCCCAAACCTCCCTGAATTAGTTTTTTTGTTTGTGATCTATCTGAATTCCTTCAAGAACAAGCTGCCTCCTGCAGAGCATTCTGATGGGGACCAAGGGATAGAGTTCATCATACTACCTTATTTCTTCTGGTTTGTTTTTAAAGACATACTGTCATTTCAGCTTGGATCGGAACATGTTAAGGACAGGTTTTTACAGAAGCTGAGGCCAGTGGAAATGTTATCCCTTTTAGTCACTTTTCTTGGAGATAATTAAAGCAAATAAACATGCAAGGGCTTATCCTGTTCTATAGACAAGTCTAAGTGAGCTACCTTGAGGGACAGAAGTGGAAGGAACAAGTACACTCTCTGATATCTACCAGCACCTATCCCTTACTGCCAGTTGGGCTCCTTCCAGACATCAGATCCATCGTATATTCATTTGTTGACAACTGTTATTTCTTTTGACTCTTCTGGTGTGCTGGAAACAGTCTCTGCTTTGGAAATCATTACAGCTGTGTAACTTGAAAACTATGAGTAATGGTTTCCTCCAGTTTAACTCCCCCTTTCTCTTACGTGTTTTCTCTGTGCCCATCTTTCTCCCTGTCTGCCCAGTTCTGTCTGGAGGTGAGGTACTGGATCTCAGTGCAGCAGCTTCCCTGGTGCCTTGGAAGGGAATTGCAGGTAAATGTCAGTCTCCCTGAACAGGACACTCCTCAAGGATAAGCCTGGAAAATAAATTAAAAACTCCAGTAAATACCAAAACGCAAAAGGGAATACTGGCTTAATGGCTACATGATAAATTTCCCCTCTCACTAGCATCTCTGTCATCTGGAAAGATGTTACCAGCTACCACTTCTTCTCCTAGGAAAAAATTGCCATCTCAACTCCACTTCCATTTTCTCACCCTTTTGCCTTATAAAACTACAGCTACCTTTTCTCTCCAAGCTGACTGAATTGATACAGGTCTGAGCAATTGCTGTCAGTTTGTGTGTAGCTCTCCAGTCTCCTGCTTGTGCTTCAGGCCTTTGTGTTCCCAGAAGTTTTCCTTTTTTCCAGTTATAGCTCTTGGTCTTTCAAAAGATATTGCCATGGTCTACTAACTTTGTCTTGCCAATGTCCTTTGCTGGCTGCAACACTGCTATCTTCTTCCTTGCAGGCCAGCCAGTGCTATTTCAGTAGGGTTTGGGAACAAAGTAGCATCATGGATGCATGTATGCATGCCTTGGCAATTTAATCTCAGAGGGGCTGGCATGTATGATTTGAATTCCTGCAGTGCTAGAATATAAGCTTTTGAACACTCTTCATGTGTCTTTCCTGTTGATGATTTGCTATCTTGTCAACGATTTGCTAGCTTTACTTCTCTGTTATCCAGGAGGGTGTAGCTAGTGTTTTTGCATTTGAAAATTGGTAGAGGTCAAGAGAAAAATCAATTCCTTTCAGTTGGCTGGAGAAGTAACTAAAGCAGCACTGGTTTTTGGTGGTTTGTTTTGTTTTGTTTTTGTTTTTTTTTTTTTTTTCATATATTAAGAACTTTAAGCTTATTTAAAGATTCTGAATTTTCAATTCTGTGTGAAACTCACTGTTGTGACTCAATCTCTGCTTGAGGATTCATAAAGGAGAAGGTAGAAGCAGCTGAATACTGACTTTAAGTATGTTTTAAAAAGGATAGAGTTTTTTTTGCAGATGGATACATAGTATGTATGTGTATATATATGCATACAGACATAATACCCACCCTGTGTGTAGGGAGTATATATACAAATGTGCGTGTAAGTGTATACACACACACTCGCACACATCCCTGCTCAGTCTCTGAATAGGTGGAAGAGCTGCTTGGTTCTAGTATTTTCCTCGATTGTAATTGCAGGTGCTGTGTCCAGGAACATCAGGCTTGTTTCTATGGCAGCTATTCCCAGCCTTATCACATCCCACCTTCCCTCAATCCCCATGTGGCAATAAAAGGAAAAGAGGTGTTGTGACACTCACACTGAGCATCCCTTGGAGGGGCTAAGAGCATGGGGAGAGATGTCTGCAGATCACAGGCTCGTTCAGGAGGGACTTGGGTACAGTATGCTGCAGCACGGCCTCCCGTGGTGCTGGTCTCTCGGCTTTGCATTAGGGGCTTTGTGGGGCCTCCCTCTCTCCCCGCCTTCTCTCTCTCCCTCCTTTTTTCCTTTTTTCCCCTCCTTCTTGCCCTGCCCTGAAGCAGGATTGCAGTATCAGAGTGGCATCATGAGCAGGAATGCTAGGGATCCTGTGCTGCACTAGACAGGCTGACTAATCTCCCTTTAAATAATCTCCCTTTAAATAGTCTGGAAGCACTCTAGTGAGCTGTTTCAGGAGCCATGAGAATATAGCCACGACTGTGGTCTATATAAATAGCCAGATCCATGCTGGTAAGTAGTGAACAGTACAGTTATTTGTTCTAGGAAGGTCTTCCTGTTTTCTTCATGTCTCTGCACAAATAGCTGTGATCAAATTCTGGTAACATTTCTGTATAGTAGTGGTGCTGTTGCCTTTTCTCAGACTGTCATATTGTCAGTGACAGTGAGGAGTGAGCAGCTACCCTTTAGAGATAGACTTCTGTCTCTAGTGGCTTTGCATCTGATTGGCAATGGGGCTGTGGCTTGCTGGGGTCTGTACCACTGGCTTTAGCTGGAACAGTGCAGTTCAGACCCTTTTGGTCAATGCTGTGAGTTCAAAAATCTCACTGATATTTATAGCATCTGGAAGGTGGAAGCAAGGAATATTTGAATACTCGCTACCTAGCTATGGATCTCAATAGAGCATAATGTGATGGTCCTGTCCAGGGAGGATGAATTTAGCTTATCTGTGCTGTCCTAACTCGGTAATCAGTGCTGTTTAAATAAATATGGAAGAGTGGAAACTATTCTCCATGTACGTGCATGCACTCTGCAGCTGCATAAGCAATCTTCAGTTTGCCTCCATCTGGTCCTGAATTATCAAGACAGCCTTCAAAAACATAAGGGGCTGATACATGACCCATAGCCGCTCTGGTGCATTCCAGGATTTAGGTAAATAGGAGAATCCTCAACGAAGAGCGCAGCAAGTCTTGCTTCAGCTGAGGTAGGAGGCATTTGAATTTCTTACTCATAGTGTATTGTCATCTTCTCCCTGCCATCCTACCCACTCAGTGCGTCAGAGATCTAAGGCTTGATTTTTACTTTTTAATTTTTTTTTCCTCCCCCCTCAGAGGATATTCAGGCCTTCAGTTTCTAATGCATCATGTCAGAGATCCTTTTTTCTTTCTTTCTTCCCCCCCAACACCCTCTGCTCAGACAGAATTCTCCTAACCAGTGTAAATGAGTTCACAGGAGAGGCTTGGTGCGAGAGGACACGGGGCTGAGTGGGTCTGAGGAGAGGAACAGAGACTTTGTAGGGGCATAGCACAGACAGGTTACACAGAGGCAGCTTCCCTCCCCTAAATGCCCCCTCATGTTTGTCTTCCTAATGTTGCTTTTAAGTCACTGTACAGATAACAAGATTTTTGCCAGGCCAGAAGTCCCACCTAATGCAGTGGGACACCATTCAGACTTCTCTTTAATCTTATGAGGGGAGAGATGTTCTCTTTCTTTCTGTTTTCATGCTCAGTGCTTACCATCCTCAAATAGGGGCACAGCTGGGGTTGAGGATTGCCTCAGTGTGTTGTTTATATGGGATTTTAAGCTCCTATTTGGCAAAGCAGAAGTTCTGTTCTGGGTTTTGGAAGTGCCATCAACAAAAACAATAATGGTCTTCTGAGGTAAAATACCATAATGTTTGATTATCAACGATCTTCTGAATTACAGAGCAAACCCATAAAAACCCCAGCCTGTGAATTTAATTAAAAAGAAAAAACAAACTACAGACAGCTTCTTCATTGACTGTGTTTAGTGTTCTTGCCTTACGTCACTCCAGTGAGATCAACCAGGCTGTTCCTGGGGTGAGTCTGGTCTGGGTTTCCAGCTAGTATGCAACATGTGGGCTCTCTTTGGAAAAGCAGAAGAAAAAGGCAAAGCTGAAAGTAGCAGAAATTATGTTTCAATGCAGGACAGGTTCCACTGAGCAGGGAGGGCAAAAAGCAGTGGAGTCTGCCCCATCACATTTTGCAGGTCTAAGGGTGCAATGCATTTTGTCTTCTTCCCCCTAGCACCATGGCTTCGTTTCCTGTCTTGAAGCAAGAGACGTTGTTCCAGAACAGTACCTGGAGCTATCGAATTCCAGCCCTGCTCTACCTGCCGCGTTTCAGCATCATCCTGGCATTTGCTGAGGAACGAGAGGACGTGGTGGACGAACACGCCAAGCTAATAGCGATGCGCAGAGGCGTGTACGACCCAACCACGCACCATGTTCAGGTACCAGTGTGGGGAGGAAACTGGGGAGACTGCCCACCTGTACTGCTCCCCGGTCCTCAAATGAGTTGAATCTGTTTGCCCTCTCACTGTGGGGGTAGCTCCTCCTTTTTCCTCAGTTAAAGGATACAAATCTGCTTATAATTAATACATGTGTCATAACTGCTGGGATTCAGCCCCATGACTGGGCAGCTGTTGGGGGGACTAAAGTGGGCAGGTGCAGCAGATTCCCTGGGGCTGGCTTTGACCCATCATTGCGGAGCTGGGGAAGCAGATAGGGAGATGGAACAAAAGTCCTGTTGTGACAGCAAAGATGTGGAGGAGAGGCAGAAATGCGGAGTGCCACAGGGTCAGGGAGGAGTGAATTAGCAATCAGTGACTTTTTTTTTTTTAAATTCCTCTTCTTAGGACTAATTTCTGGTTGAAAAAACAATTGAGAACAGCTAGTCTCCCCACGCAAAAGAGTGTTGTCTGGTTTGTCTGTGCCACTGAATTGGCTACCTTATTAATCTACCAGTTATTATTAACAGTTATCTTGCTGGGTGACTGGGGGTGGTGGATACTCTATTTATAATAATTTTTTACATTTGCAAATGCATTAATGTCTGGGGCGGGGGGGGGAAAGTCATTATATCTTTCTATTCCAATTCTTCATTGGTGACTGGTTGTCTTAGATTATAGACTCTTAAGAGCTGGAGTCTGCCTAGCAGAAGCAGCCTCTGAGCACACCTGCAGTGTCATACCATTCAGGTAACATCTTGTGCAACCCCCTGTAATTCAGTTAAGTAGGGCTTAGCTGGTCATAAACTTAGTCATTTGTGTTCACATGCTAGAGCTTCTTAAAATGGAAATATTAAATATTCCAAAAAAGTTAACACTGGTTGAATAGACAAAGATAAGACATTACCAAAAAGGGTAATCAGCAAGTCGGTGTAGAAAAGCTAATTAGTATAATCTTACTGGAAAATACTGCTTCTTTTACCGAGCCAATAACACTATGTAGGAATAATTTTCTAATTGCAATGTTAGTGTTAGGAATGTGATTGTGTTACGTGCTATTCATTTAAAGAAAGACAGGGCTTGGGGGGTAGTTATACCTGCTCTGCGACCTATTTTCTGTGTCGGACAACTCATGGTCCAAATTTACACCCCAGAGTCTGTAAAGCCCTGCAAGCAGCTCTAGCAAGGTGCCTCAATGTAGGCTGGGGTGCCCCACTCACACGTGGATCAAAATGGAGGAATAGGAGTCTGAATGGAAAGGAATTTGTCAGCATCCAGGACACTTGGAAAGGGCTCGGCTATCTAGCCGATTTCCTAAGAAACACTGATACAGCACAGTGTCTGTACCAGCACACTTTGACCACTGGGCATGTCTGTGTGTCATATATATATATATACTTATTTGTGAGAATTTCTGAAAATTCAGCTACTGTAGTTTTTTAAGTAGTATCAACAGACACTAGCTGCATTGAGATACAGAGCTATCAGCTCCTCAATGAGTAGTAATTGAAAAGGGCATGACCCTGTTCGCCACCTGTTTGGTGAACTGCATGTGTCATCCAAATAATTTTCACTTATGTTTGGTGATGCCAGTATACTGTCTTCCCATTTCTTGCTCTATCCACTAACTTGCTTCTCTTCTGTTCTTCTCATGCTCTTCTGTAACTTTTATCCAGGCACCTTCACACTGTAACGTGGATCTATTTGTAATGGTGTGTTTCGTTCTTGTCTCCCTTCACACGGGCCCTGGCAGTGGAATAACATGGAGACCATTGTCAGTGCGCAGCTGAAAGACCACCGATCTATGAACCCCTGTCCCGTTTATGATGAGGTCTCAGGGAAACTGATCCTGTTCTTCATAGCTGTCCCAGGAAAGATCTCTGAGCAGCATCAGCTCAGGACAAAGATCAACCTGGTACGTCTCTGCTATGTCACTAGCATGGACCAAGGACGCACCTGGAGCACTGCCCAGGACGTCACCGATGGTACCATTAGCACTGAGTACAAGAACTGGGCCACTTTTGCAGTGGGGCCAGGCCATGGATTGCAGTTGCTCAACAAGGCCCGGAGTCTTGTGATTCCTGCCTATGCCTATCGGATCTTGGACCCTAAGCAACACCCCACCCCTCATGCCTTCTGCTTCATCAGCTCTGACCACGGGAGAACATGGGAGATGGGGAACTTCGTGGGGGAGGAGAGCGCGGTGGAGTGCCAGGTAGCAGAGGTGCACAGCTGTGGCAGGAAGGTCCTCTACTGCAATGCAAGGAGCAGCAGGGGAGCCAGAATCCAGGCGGTCAGCTACAACCATGGGGTGGACTTTGAGGGGAGCCAACGGGTCGAAATGCTAGTAGAACCTCCCTCTGGATGTCACGGAAGTGTTACTGCCTTCCCACCTCCCCCTGATGTCAGATGCCAAGATAGTTGGTTGCTCTACGCACATCCTACAGACCCAAAGGGTCGAAGAGATTTAGGAATTTACCTCAACAAAAGCCCTTTAAATCCAGCACACTGGACAAAACCAAGCATCCTCTTCAAGGGCCTGTGTGCTTATTCAGATCTGCAGTACATGGGGGTAGGGCCAGATGGCTCACCCTTGTTCTCCTGCCTCTTTGAATATGGGACCCACCAACAATGTGAAGAGATGATCTTTGTAATGTTTACTTTGAAGCAAGCCTTTCCATCAGAGTGCTGAGCCTCGAGCCTTTGCATCAGCATCCCTCTGAAAACCACCTTTGCTGATACTTCTTCCCACTGTCACGTCTCATCTTTCAGCAAAGATTTTTTTGTACTTGTCCTGCACCTTTAGTTTGGCGTTGGCTTGTGGCGTCTGTAGATTATGAAGTCTATTAAACATACTAAAACTTGAACACGTGTTTGGCTTTGTTTTCTGTTGCCTGTTCTCCCTTCTCGCCTTTCCCTTTGGTTGCCATCACATGCTCAGAACAAGCATCACCTCTGCATAGGGCCTCTTCACCTCGAGGCCTCCGATAGACTTGGTTAGGGGTGTGCATGCTGGCAGTGTAGGGACTGTGTGGGAACAGAAGGCAGCAATTTTATGCTGCGCTGTACTTAGTAAGTTGTAGAGAAAGTGCTAGGGAGGACACTGGGCTTACTGCCCTACATCTGCAGTTACCTGCTTCAGAAAACTGCTTTGGCTCTGGTTATGTGCACTGCTGCTTGCAGTCAGTGTAGCACTGACTGGCAACTCTAGCTTTTGGGGCTTGCTGTCTTCTCATTTCAGCAAGGCCATTAGAGGCATTACTCACGGGATATTCCTTTCCCACTTCTGCAGTGGATTTGAGGTTCCCTTGCTGAGTTGCCAGGCCCTCCAGGGACTTCTGGCTAGCTTAACCTTCTTCTTACTTCCCATGCTGTTCTTGCTTATTTGCCCTTTTGCTTACGCTGCACTGAGAAGCTGCAGTTTGTCATGTGTAAGAAAACCACAGCCTCCTGTGCTCCAGCCTCTCCCTGGGCAGTGACAGTAGAACCCATGCAGGACACCAGGACCCCCCTATGTCTGGGGACAGGGCAAGTGAGAGAAATGGCATTTTGCCTGTATCGAAACTGCAGGATCAGGACAGGTCTGCAGAGGGAGCTCCCAATTTATCGTGGGGAGGGGAAATACTCGCTGGTCTTCCCAAGGCAAGTGCTGAACTATGATCCGCGCAGCAACTGCTCTTATCGCTGACAACCCAGTGTCTTGCAAGTGTGGCTGCTGTTATTACAGAGTATTATTGGCATGTAAGGTAGTGTGTCGAACAAATAATCCAGCAAATTGGAAAGGCACAGGTGTCAGAGGAAGAGGACTTGACAAAGCCCAGAGCAGCATGAGTGCTCAAACTGGAAGGCTTTCTAATCTGGACAGATTTTCAGCAGGTTTCTGAAGTAAACAGCCCCAGTTTTGGTGAGAGACTACTCTGAGGCTATGGTGTGATTTGAAAGGAGGCCTTATGCAGTGAGTAGACAAGGGGAGTGACCAGAAGTGAATGGGTACCAAGGAGACACACCAGAGCAGATGGAGCTAGAAAAGCTTCACCCATGCCTCTGGACAAAATTCTGCTTTATGAACCAGTCTGTGATTGTTTGCTGTGTGCTGTATTCCGTGTGTGTGCATGTGTGGAACATCTCCAAGAAAAATATGTATGTTTGTTCTATTGGTGAACAAAAATACCCGCTTCCCAGAGCACTCTCAGAACGCATCCCCTTTGGGGAGCACTACCAGGTCTCATAGGACCCTTTGCACTGTCACTTTCCAGGTCTGTGAGTCTCTGTTTAGTGTCCACACCCTTCCCTTTAATTGCTGATAGCTTTCAGGGGTGGTGGGAGAAGGAGCCCTGGTTTCTCTCACTATCAAGGTTTGTTTCAGGGCACCTGGAGGCTGCAGGCACCGAGGGAGTGAAGAGATCTCATGGCCTTCGCATACACACCTGTAATTTGCCAAGCCTTTCCCAAGCAGCAGGTCAGTAACACGCTGGGCTGGAGTAGCACTGGATGGCTCACCTAACCAGTACTTTGTAGGTATTACTCATGTGCTCTTTAGATGTAGGCCAGAGTCTAAATACACGTTTGTGGCCAGTAGCCTGTTACTGATGCCTAATGAGGGAATGTTATATTTAGACTTCAACAAAGCTAACTGCTCTCCTATAGACTTAAACTCCCTCGTCCGGCATACTGTGAAACACTTTTGTTTCATAACATGAAAATGCATATTTGAGAACTTTTCATCTGACCAAGCCTGACAGTGCCTGCACTAATGCAGTGCACAGGCTGGATATATGTGGGGGGGTTTGGGTGACCACTGTGCATCTCAGCTGATGCTACAGACAGTAGTTATCCACTGGTTCTGGGCAGGCTGGTGAGTTCACAGCCAGCTGGTATAATACTACCTGGTCATCTGTAGTAAACCCGGTTTAGATAAAGTGTTTATTATAATGTCTGAGAGACAGCTTGGAATAATACCCTAATGTGGGGAAAAATAATGTTTGCTTTGTCCATAGGCTGCCAGGGCTGCAATTTTTGATTATCCAACATCAAAATGTGTCCCAGTTCTTTGTCTGTGGCCTCATTCTCTCAAGTAAGTTTAAATGAAATACTGCTGCTGCTGCAGTTATCTAAAAGCTTCTCTTGAGTCTGGGTTAGATTTGTCTGATGGATGTACCCATTATTCTTTTGTTTTACAAGGATAGCTCTGACACGGTGCTTTGTCCTAACTGTGGGATGACAGTGTAGACTACTGGAAGCACATCCTATTCCTTGTGGAAACCTTCGGGCTGTGCCAGCTACATTTGTAGTATCACCTCGCGTGTAACTGATGCAGGCAGATCACTGCACTCCCCCTCTATGGCAAACATTCTAGCTCCCCTCTGGATAACTTCTCTAATCTCTTCTTCCTCAGGTCTACTCACTAGTTTTCTCTGACACAGGCAGGAAAGGAAAGAAAATGGATGGTGTAAGTATCTCTGGCAAAACTGCCTCTTGTCTCTGTGTGGGACAGAAGTTACAGCTGTCCTTTGGGGATCAGGTACTTCAGGATGCACACACACTTGTGTGCTGACCACGCAGGGATCGGTCCTTCTCCAGCGCTGCAGAATGCACGTGCCAGCGCCATGAGAAGTAAAACAGACGCCATTTCCTCTTCAGGCAGTGTTGCGAATGAACCACTGGGAATCGCAGAGCTGTTTGTGTTAGGGAATTGGGATTCACCTTTTGAGCAGCTGGAGCTGTACTGTGCTTTCGTTTAGGACCAAGAAATACTCACAGAAACTGGCCTGCACGTCTTATTGGCATAATCATCATGCGTGTTTGGATCCCATCCCCCTTGTTTATGTCTCCAAGGAGTTGTGTGTGGCTGGACAGGGGATTTACACATTTGAAGGAAATAGAAGCAGCTTGCTACATTCTGAAGTTGGTGGTGGGTTGGATAGGAGTTAAGTATAGAGCTAATCATACTCAGATATCTAACCAGGACTTGTACCTCTCTGTTGTCTTGTGTTAACTTGCAGTAGGTCAGGAGAAGCACTCCAAACACAGTTGCATTCCAGCAAAACTCGTGGTGAGCCGCCGCCCTGTCCACTCTGCATCCACATGTGTGTCCGTTGCATGGAGAGCACTGTGAGGTCAGGCAGTGGTTTGACATGCAGAGCTGTTCTGCTTCCTGCTGCAGCTGTGCTCCAGAGAAGCTACTGTAAGTATCAGAAATCCCAAGGAGCTGGTACAAGTGAGGCTAGCAGCACACTATGGCCAGGCAGGACTGTCAAAGGAGCCACACAGTCCCATTGCCATATGCAGACAGTCTTCGTAGTGGGAAGAATAGGGTTTGTAACCATTCTGTAGCTCACAAGAGGTTACAGCTACTGTCCACACAGAGCCACTTCATGGCATTCAGCATCTGACTCCATTTAGGCACCTGAATCCATGGGAGGTTGGCTCCTAAAGCCCTGTGTGGATCTGGGTGAAGCTGAAGGGCAGGTCCAGCTGAGCTAATTTTGGTCTGTAGACAGTGCTTGCTCAGCATGGACAGGAAGCCCTGCACATTGCAGTTCTGTCCATTTAGCAGGGTCCTGTGCTGGCCGCACAATTTTGAATTGCTGGTGCCCACAGTTTAATCTCAATGGCAGAGATTAAGCTGGACACTTCAGGGCAGATATCTGGGTAACTGAAAGGAACCAGGAAGGCTGGCAGGAACGAATGCTGGGCTGTACTGGTTCACCCTCTCCATGCCCACAAATTTTAGTCTCTCCCAGTTCGGTGATAGGCTCTGCTTTCTCCTGCCTTGCTGTCTATGCTGTGTACAGGGGCAGCACCGCGCACGTGATCCTGGTACTGATTCCAGCACTTCTGGCTCTGGGAGGTGAGGGTTGCATGGCACTATCAGCATCTGTGCCTTTCCTGGGGACTCTCCCTCTGTACTCCTGAGTCCCAAGCAGAGTCCCAGCTCAGCTGCTGCTTTTAAATATTGCTCAAACGTGGGTGTGTTGAAGTGCCGCCTTCAAAGGCAGACTGGTTGAAGGTACAGGATAGGCAACCAAATTTGCAGTACTCCTGTAGCAATAACCTTGCTTGCTGCAAACGTGCCCCTCGTTGCTCTACCTTGGAGATGCAGCACTGAGCATGCCATGCAGCACACACAGATGCACAGAGAAAGAAAAGGGAACTGAAAACTCCAGTTCTTCCCTCTCTGACGCACGTAGCTCTGCTCCATCCCACCTTTGGGGATTTAGAGTAGGAAAGATCTCTGAATCCAGCTCACAGTTGCTGACAGGGAGCTTTGGTCACAAATCCCCAGAGCAAATCAGCCTCTGAGTCTGCTTCTGTGCATGGGAACATACAGGGGTAATGTTTTTTCCAGATCCATGAAGTTGCCTCCTCACACCTAGCTAGATGCGAGGACCAGAAAGGCGGGAATGGGGCAGTCAGTGCTAAGTAGCCTAATGCACAGTGTGTTTCTGATCAGTCTGAGATTGATTTATTCCCCAGGGAGACCTGTAGTGGGTAGGACAGACAGGACAAAGATGGAAACTCAAACGGTCTGGCAAGAGATTGTAAATGGGATGTCAGGCCACCAAAGCTGGGGGCACTGAATCATCAGGGGAGCAGAAGAGATCCCCAGCTGGGACTTTTTGATACAGAGTATTAGGACATGAAAGGGGATGGAAAGGCAGGGAACAGGGACTTGCTAGTCACTTCAGCTGCAGCATGAAGAGGGAGAGCAGGGGCTGCAGGAACATGTCACGCTCACTCTCTGAGCTGTTTGAGTTGAGGAAGTTGTCCGCGGCTGAGTTTCCTTTCCCTCTCTGTACTATTGAAACAGGAAGCTGGTGAGCTGAAGCTGCCTGATCGTTACACACAGACACACAGGCAGCTCTGGCAGCTCCTGTATTGGCATTCAGGTTTCCTCCAGCTCCAGCGATGGATCAGTGCTGGTACCACGGCAACATCACTCGCTCCAGAGCCGAAGACCTGCTCTCCAAAGTAGGCAAGGATGGCAGCTTCCTTGTGCGGGCCAGTGAGTCAATTGCTTCGGCATACGCACTCTGCGTGCTGTAAGTACAGCTTTCAACCTCGCGCTTCACGCGGACGCTTTTGTCCCCGCTTGTGCAGGGTGTTACCCCCTGCACCCTCTCCAGCACAGAGGCAAGCAGCCACTGTCCCCGCTGGGAAGGTGCAGCCCACATCAGAGCACGGCTGGTTTCACCTGACTGGGCCACTGGATGGGGAAGGGTTGGGAGCAGGGCCAGGCTGAACAAACCCATGTTCCTTTACTGCTGTAGTGCTCACGCTACTCTTGCCCCTGATTCAAAATGAGAGAATAATCGAATATACTGTGGCTGTGCTCTGAGAGAAAATAACCTCTTGTCCTCTTTGAGCCTGTTAACAGCTTGGGTCAGGTATTTACATTTAACAACTCAAGTACTGAGCTTGGTACCCTCCCAGGCACTTTTCTTGCTCTGGTTCAGTGTGTGTTTGACCCACCTGCTTGTACAGTGCTGTGTCCCATTCAGCAAAAAGCTTGATATAGTTCCTGGAGCTGTACATGATACAGCCGGCACAGCGATGATTCTACCTGCATCATTAATGCGACTCACGAGGTAAATATTTCATGTCGGAAATAGGGAGAGGAGAAGAAGTGCTGGCAGCCCTGACCCCCTCCGTTCTGGGTTGGGGCTGGGAACCAGAGAGCAAGGCCTCCTGCCCTGGCTTTGCGAGGGGCAGGTGTTATTCCTGGAGGCAGCAGTGCAGGGGCAGGAGGAGATTGAAGTCAGTAGGTAAAGTCTGAAGCATGTGACTTTGCATTACAGAGAGATAAGAGAGTTGCTCCCTGCTTAGGAGAGATCAAGAGACCCTCTGTGGGACCCTGTTTTGCCTGTCGGATCCTCTTTGCTGCCACTGTGTAGCATATTAATAAAACTTATTTCATCCTTACCCCACATTCAATTACAAGCAGGTTTCTCAGTGTAGTTTCTTTCTGAACGTGTATTTCTTGCAGTGGCAAAGGTGGTGCTGCTGTTTATAACTCTGGTCTAACTGCTTGTCTCTGAGGTCAGACTTCTGGTGACAGCACAGCCTGTTGCAGAGGATTCATCTGCAGAAAAGCGTGGGGCTAGGTAACTGCCCTGTAAGCGTAGGTGTTGGACTGTCAGAGATCAATGGTTGGGTAATGGAGGTTCACGAAGTGTGGAAAGTCTCTCTGCCTGCCGATTAAGGTGTTTGTAATAACATGGGAAGAGGTTTGTCTTTCTGGGGAGCAAAGAAAGAAGGGTGGCTGCAGAGGAATAGCCAGGACAAGCAGGAAGAAGGACGGGCAATCATGTAGCACGGGCTGAGGGCCCAAGTTGCAAGTCAGGGAACTTTTTACTAGAATAGGCTGTTGCTTCCATTGGGTGTTTTTAGTGTGACCCCTTTGATTTGCCTTGTAATCAGTATGGACACAAAATATTTTTACAAAGTGATGGTGGGGATGATAGAAAGGGAAGGTGCTGTAAAAATGTCTACTAACATGCATTTGCATAAGTTTTTCCATTGTAAATGTTTACGCAGCCAACTTTGAAAGCCTTTTGTGACTTGAGAGACATGGGATCAGGAAATAGAAACAATATCATGACCAGGATTTTCTGAACCGGGAGCCAAAGGTTATGTTCTTAAATCCATTCTGAGGTGGCTAACATGAATGGCTTGATTAAAGAAGTGGGGAGCACCCAGCCTTGTCAGCCAAGAGCAGCCAGATCTGTGGTGTGAAGGGCTGGCATTAAAGTCTCGTATCTGTAGCTACACAATGTAAATGTCACACAAACTTCTGTCAAAGTACCTAACAAGCTTTCAGCTTGTGCTGGTTTGCAGTTAGTTTGCGAAGAGAAAGGGTTAAAGGTGGTGAATAAGTTTTTCCCTCTGAATGTCATCTTGACAAAATGGGCAGCTTTGCTGAAGCTGAAAACTTCCTCAGAGATATATCAGTTTCAGCTGTGTTATTGACTGGAAGGTGTTTGAAGTTTGAGCCCGTTCAGTTACTTCTGTTTAAAAAACAGGGAGTCTGGAGACAAAGAATGAGAGAGAGGGGGAATTGAGAGCCCGACTGCAAAAGGTTTTCACAAAAAGAGAATTATGTTGAAAGTGAGAAAGTGTCAACTGTGTATAGATAAGGAAAACAAAAAGCCATGAAATTTGCTCTGAAAAAGAAGTGTCATATTCTACAATGCTCTAATATTTGTTGGGCAGATCAGTCAAAATCCAGCAGAATCACTTACTATATCATAGAATGAAATAGTGATTTTCTTGAAGAGCTACTTTAAGAAAATAGGGTTTGTATAAGTATAGACAAGTAAAGGAGGTGTATTTGCAGGGCCTTTTAAGAGTGCGTCCCCTCCTTTTCTGAAACTTAGAGCAGCAGCATTTAATTTAGCAGAGAGCTGAAACAGTCAGCAAATGCAGAGGGAATGCTCCTCCCCCTGCACTGCTGTCCTCTGCTCTACTGGTCACACTGCCCCATAAAAGGCAAGAAGCAAAGCTATTTTCCTCCTCCTCTCTCTGTGCCCAGATCATTTGATCTGCCAGTTTATTGACAAGAAACAGGCTCCTTAACTTACCTGGAGGTTAACTTGCCTGGATCCTGAAATCAAAAAGACCCTGATTAGTGGTCACAGCGTGCTGAACCTGAGCTGCTATCATTCCTCCAGGGGATCTTCTGTTGGTGGTTCCCATGTGAATGGCTGCAGGATTAACAACGCCTCTAGAGATGTCCCCCAAAGGCTAGCTGCAGCTTTGGGGTCCCTCTCTGAGGACACTGCCTGTGAGATATTTCCAACCCTGTGGTGAGATGGCCTCTCTCATGGTGCACATAGCACCATGCCTAGCACGGCAGTCCTGCTTAGGATTTCCAGGCGCTCCCAATATGCACATCATCACCTCTGCATAAAAACACATACAGCAGGAGAGGAAAGAGAAAATACAAGCCTCATCCTCCTTCCTCCTCTGGTTGGTTGAGAGGACAGGGAGATGACAAAGTACTTGAAGACATGTTTAAGCTGAGGCTGATGTTATATTTAACCTCCACAAAGCCTGAATAGTGGTTGAGCAATTCTGAACTCAACCCAGTTTTTAGGGAGGACCTGGAATGTGACAGTAATTGGGACCACATACTTTGACTGTCAGGACTCTGAGAAGGGAAAGCCTAAGGGTAGAAAAGGAGTAAGAGCCCCAGTCTTCTCCATCCACATGCACTAAATTAGTGGACTGCTAAAGAGGATTCCTGCTTATGATCCTAGGAAGTGTTCTTCCATGCTCCCGTCTCACCCAAGAGCCGTTCTTTCCTTGCTCTTCCACTGATCTCACCTGTCCTCAGCTTAAGCCTCTTTACAGGTGTTATGACAGCTGCCTCATAAGGCCTGTGTGATGGGGCACTTTCTGTGAAGGTAAGAAGGAGGGTCCTCTTGTGACACAAGAGCCATTGAGCTGGTTTGTTTATCAGTTTCATAATCTCCACACGCAGAAATTTTCTCTCATAAGCTGCATAAGCAGTTCTGCTTAGCTCTGTTTGCATATCAGCAGGAGGAAATGGTGTAAGAGAACTGCATTGACAGATAAAAACAAAACCCATACCCTTCCTTGGGGCATATCCTCATCTGGTGTCGATTGCCCTGGACTTGGTGAAATTAGCAGTGTTGTGCAATCAAAAGAAGTTGGGGACCATGTCTGTGACTTCCAGCTCTGTACCAGATCCTCAGATGTGTGAATGAATAGGTGCCTGTGAAATGGTCCTACATTGCTTAGTGAAGTGGTACTGAGCTCTGGGAGCAGTTCTAATTCCTCTGTGTCCTTTGCATTAATGCCATCAAAAGATATAGGTTCATGTGGATACATGACAAAATCCTCCAAACACCCTGAAAAAACTCAGCTGTGATTTATAAGTAATTTCTTTTCATTTCCAGTTGCTCATTGTGACTCCCTGTATAGGGCTGCCTAAAATCCTGGCGATCTATTTTTCTCTCCCCTGCATGGAGTGATTCTGAAAGGCCTATAATGAATAAACTCACAACATAATTGTAAAAGAGATGAGGATGTTTTATTGATCTGCCTGATCTCCCCAGCTGGGGAGCTAACCTCAGCCCACATTTCATGATGGTTCCACAGGTAATGCAGTCTTTCTGTTACAGCCAAGGAAGCTCTGAGAATGGATTCTGGTTTTTCCCTTGAGGGGAAGGGGTTGAAACCGGCATCATTGGCTGGCTTAAAGCCATATTGTATGTTTTAACCGAGTGCTTTGCGGGTGACTTAAAAGATTTGAACAATTTGTTGTTCACTTGGGAGAAAGGTTAAAATATATTTTTTATTCAACACTTCTTGGGCAAGCTCCACAAAGATCAGCAGCTGCTGCTGAAGGTTATGCTTCCCACATGCCACATTACAGCACTGCTCAGGCTTCCCTTGGGCTCTTGTGCATTCATGTGGCCCTTCACTGGGCAAAAGACTCCTCCACCTCCCCTTAAATAAGAATCTCATTGAATTTAGCTGGCACAAAATGTTTGTTGTGGCTGAGGCTGACCTACAGGTGCACATGTACAGTGTGTATCCACACCAGGATAGTGAGATGGGTTTTCATTTCGGTTGTTGTTCAGGATTTGTGCATGAAAATGTGCCTAGCAATCAGCTGTCTTACTGTGATTTAGCTGAAATCTATTATTTGGGTTTTTTTCCCAATACAAGTCAATGCACATACTAGACCTTCAATTTACTCATTCATTGCTGATTTTGGTCCAGTGTCTTTTGGATTTCTGCTGTTCCTTTCCTTCCTGAGACGCCCACTCTTCTGACAGCTAGAGCCATTTGGTGTTCTCTTTTTTTCTGGCCTGAAGAAGAGTTGAATAACTCACTTGAGGCTGATGCTGGTATCACTTTCTGCAGTGACATCTGCAAACATGTCTCAGTGACCAGGAACACTTCAGGTTTGTGTTCACAGACTCCAGGGAAAGAAATAAAGAGAAATTATTAAAAACCTTGTGCATGAAGCCATCTATGTGTCTCCAGATCTTCCAATATGGGGAGGGGTGCCACAGCGTGATTCCTTTCTGGAAAGCTCTAACCATATCTCCTCTCATCTGTTCCAGGTTCCGGAATTGCGTTTATACCTACCGAATTCTGCCGGACAAAGAAAATAAGCTAATTGTCCAGGTAAGCCATGCTGTGTACTATTTGGTCCCACAGAGATGCACCTAAGACCACTCACTGCTTTTTTTCAAAGTAGTTCTAACACCAAGAAAAAAAGGATATAAGGAGTTAAACTAAGGCCCATGTCCATCACAGTGCTAGTCTCCAGGACACTGGTATGGAGATTTTAGTCTCTGGTCCACTGCTGTGGCCATCAGCACACTCTTTAACGTACATGCCTTCAATTCAGTGCCATGTTTTATGTAACTGAGAACCTCAGCCCATGGAGTACCTTTTTCTCTGAAGCCAGCTTCTTATCAATACATCGTGGATCTTTTCAATCCAAAATTTCAGTGCAATTTACCTACACCCAGAGAATGTAAATTGAATTGTAGTCTCAGGATCCAGAAAGGACCAGGACTGAGAGCAGGAGTTTCATACCTGTTTATTCCTGTTCTGCTTTAGGATTCTGAATGAGCTACTTCCCCTCCCTGTACCACTTCTCAGCCCCTTGTTTTCCCAATATAGAGCATGAAGCTCAGGGTGGGGAAGGGGAGGCATGGTCTCTTACTTCCCCAAGAAGGGGGCATGGGTTTACTAGGAGGCAGGGAGGGCTGTAAGCCTACCCATCCTCTTAGCACAGCCAATGCTGCATGGGCATTCCCTGTAAAGTGAAATGCCCATGATACCCATGTGCCCCAGTCTGCCCTGCTATTCAGAGTGGGTCTACATTCATTCCTTCCCATGATTCCTTCCCATTTCAGATGACAATTAGCTTCCCACACTAGAAATGCAGATTTCTTCCGATGCCACGTGCAGCTCACACAGCCCACATGCACCATGTTACTTAGGTATTCCCCGAAGTGCTTTAGGGGCATCAGTTTTCCTTTGAGACCTGCACCAAGAGGCAGCATATCTGAAACTAATAGCGATCAGGTTATTGAGAACAGTTGAGTGCTGGCAGCTTGCTTTCAGCTGTGGGTTGTTGATAAGAATCGTGGATTGCGTGTCCTGGGTGCACACACCCAGCATGGCTCCCTCAAGAGCCACTTTTGGGTGGCTCAGGCTGTTCTTAGGAGCCTCACTCAGATGGAGCTCTGCACAAACACAGCTGTGTTGCCACCAAGGCCAATTCCAGGCTCTTGGTGCTGTGCTCCAGAGGACTGTGTTCCCAGGGCCAGCCACCAGCATCAGCGTGGTGTCCCAGTTGGCCTCACCAGTTACAGCTGGTTTCCCCAGTGCCATTGAGATACCTCTGCCTCACTTGCCACAGCTCTTCTGTTTCTGAGGAGGAACTGGCAGCAGGACACTGTGCCAGACTTGACCTGGGTCTGTATGTGTTACTATGGCATGTCACCAGAGCTAATCCATCTTCCCAGAGCACTGGGCAACACTGTGCAGAGGAACGTGTGCAGGCTCTGCAGGATGCTAGTGTGGGGCCAGCGCTCAGCTGGAACGAATAACCTGTCATTCTGGTCTGGCTCCACACAGTATGCTGCAGGCTGTTTGTAGTAATACTCATTTTTTCCCCACCATCTGATATATCTCAGCCTTGTTGTCCTAAATAATGTGTTTTGGCATATTGTGATGATGCGGTGTGATGGTAAGATAGGTAATACAGTGTTTATCGGTATTTACAGTACCTAGAGCAGCTGCTGAGATCAGCGTTTTACTGTGCCAGACAGCTTGCAAGTGAAAAATCCCTGGCAGGGAGTGTGTTGGGGAGACCTGAGGCCCAGGGAATGGGTACAACTAGCCAAGTCCCACAGCAGCTCCGTGGCAGAGCCAGGATGGGAGCCTGGCCCTGCTAGTGACGTCCTTGCTCCTTGCACTGGCACTACGATGAGGAAGGGAACTTGTAGAACCCTAACTCTGAATGGGTTTGGGGTATGAGTTTGGCAGCTGCTTTGTCTTCTAGGAAACAAGCACAGAAATGATCGTATGTTGGCTTTTCACCCGAGGGAAAGGAGGAAAGAAAGGCCAGAGGTTAACTGAAATGGCAGCTACACAACCCCACAGTTGGCTCTTAGGTGCCCTGGATGGGCCTTGGCACCGTGGCAAGCCCTGGCCCCCTCCTCGTGCCCCAGCTGCGCTGCCGCCATGTCCCCAGAGTGGTGCTGAACGTGCAGCCTGGCCTGCAGCCTTTTCTAGAAAGGCACGGACACCACAAGTCACAAGAGGGTTTGAAATCTGAGCTCAGAGCAACGTGCCTGTGTGCGGGCAGCTCTCCAGAGAGCGCTGGGCTGCCCGCTGCTCCCAGGGCCCACCAGCTAAGGTACGGCGCAGACTCAGCATCTGGTCCTCTACGTTACAACCCAGGAAGATGCAAGTTACGTTTCCCAGTTTGTACTGGATCTGTAATTGTTTCTGCCATGAGAAAGGGCCTGTTTTCGTGCACAACTATCCCATTTGTCCGCAGATCAGAGCACTGCAGCCATAAGAAGTCAGTATTTCTCTCTGTTGTAGCAATGGGCAACTCTCATGCTGGATCAAGGTTTATGAACAAACAGAAGATGTGACTGATGTCAGCCAGCTCAGGCTTTCCCCACCACACATTCTGCAGGGTATTATTTACAAATAAATATGTCCTCATGCTCTCTGGGGAGGGATTACTGGTCTACTGCTGGATCCAGACAGCATTATTAGGACTCAGAGGGTTCTTTCCAAATGAAACCTTTTGAAATCTACTAGATCTTTTAAGGAAATACGATCTACTAGAAGTAGATTTGTTAGATTTTTTTTTTGTTTGTTTGTTTGTTATTTGTTTTTTTAAGATTCTCTTGGGATCTGTGTTGTGATTATGAGGGATTTCTCTTGTTTACATGGTGTGGGATGCAGAGGGACTGTGGTGGAATACCTTTGTATGCTGGGTTGCCAGGAGCTGTAGGTTGAATATCAGGAGTAGGCTAAATAAAGTGTGTTGTTAACTCATGTTTTGAAGACACAACACCTCCCATTTTGTGCTGCTTTATTCCAGTTCTGTGGGAGATGCAGAAGAAGGGGGCTGGCTTCTTCTGGCAAGGGAGAGATGCAGTGAGAGTTGTAATTGAGACTCAGAGCAAAATAGTCTCATGTTGTTGGCTGCTGTTCTTGGTACGTTGTTCCAGCTGGACCAGACATTTTTGGTTGCTTGTCTGTCAAGCTTTGGATAAAACAAAAACTACTTCATGTGCATTAAAAGATCAGATTTTTTAAAAGAATAGTTCTCCTGTGCAAGTATGTAAAAACTGTAGAATAGGATGGAGTTTTGACTTTAAAAAAAATTCCATTAAAAGGAAAGAGTCTCAGGTGTTAAATTAATACAGCAATCAGTAGATGCTTCTCATTTCCGGGTTTATTAAAAAAAAAAAAAAAAAAAAGACAGAGGAAAGATTCAATACTAAATACTGAGATTAGCCTGTTTTAATTACAAATATGGGCCCTGATCATGCAATGTGACCTTTTTTTGCCTGCAAAGTGCTCCTTCCTGAAGCTAACAAAGTTGTCTTCCTACCCAGAGCTGGGCTGTTGTCTGTCAGACATTTTTCATGAAGACAGCAGGTTCAGAAGATGTGTAATGTCACAGCTACAGACGCAGCACTTGTGACATGACAGCTCTCCCTCTGCCACTCTGTGGAGTTTTTTCACCTTTAAAGCTGCAAGTTGCTTCACGTTTTTTGTCTTGGAGAGCAGATTTTATTTTTTCTTATTTAATTAGATCCTGGTCTGGCACTAGTGGGATGTCATTTCTTGCATGGTTAAATTAACTGTTCAAGTACAGGTGGCAGAAAGGGAGGTGCCTAGTTTTGCATTCAGAGGTGCACATTTTTGCATTCAGGCTGAAGAAAAAATTATTTGCATATGTCCTTCCAGCATTTTGTGGCATGCTGTGTGAGCTGCTATTGGGTTTCTGCATCTGCAGCAGCTGTACAGCAGTTAGCATAGTAAGGAACCCCTCTTTCCTGCCATATCTGGAGTCAAACTGGTGTCCCCCCAAAACATACCAGGCCATTGTGGTTACAATCATAGGGATTTTTTCTTTAAACACAAATATAAATTATTTCCCTTCTTTTTGGGGACTGCTGAATTTTCTCCTTCCATTATGTGAGACTTGAAAATATAGGCAAAAATATCGATGGCTTGGATGAATCAAACTTGCATCCTGCTGGTGAAAACACATTTAAGGAAGGGGGGGGGAGGAGTAACAAAAGCCCCTTGAAACACAGGATCTGTAATAGCAAGTAGAGATCTCGGTCCTTAGGCTGAGAACAATTAGTCATCAAGATATCTCTGTTAGCCTGCAGACTCTCACTGTAGTAAAACACTGAGAACTGAGAAGCTGAGGCAGGAAGAGAGCAAAAACCATACAGTTACACGGAGATCCAGGAGTAGTAGGGGCATGAGGCTGGAAATAACTGCCTCCGAGTTAGCTTAGCTGCTGCTTGCCTGTTGGGCAAGTCACGGCTGAGTACACAAGCTTCTTCTCTGTAAAAACAAATAGGATTTTCCCTTGCTCAAATGGGGAGGCATACTTAATGCAGAGTGATTGAAAGTTGGGGGACTAGCTGAGTGTAACCATATTTGTGCAAAGAGGGGTGGAGCAGCAAAGGAGTCCTTGGGAATCATAAGATTAAACTGAACACTAGAGACAAACTAAAGACACTAACTCTGTCTTTCTAAAACGGGTATCAGTGGTCAGCTCTTGCCAGCCAGATTCATAGAAGATAAAACTTTCCTATGCTGTCATTTAATGTATCTCATTTATACAATTACCTGAGGTGTCAGTGTGACCCTCACGACTGCTCAATCTGAATTCCTTGTGATCTCAGCATCCCCTCAAGGAGGGGAAGTGCTCTTGTTCCCATTTTACAAATGGGGAACTCAGTCACAGTGTGTTAAGGAGGATTGGGTTACCAAAGATAATTTTAAATAGCTGCCCCTTGCTGACTTGCCCAGGATCAGAGGATGTGTGTGATGCATCGGTATTCATCCCCTCCCATTTTAGATGTGCAGTCAAAGCTGTCACATAGTCGAAGCAGAGTTGT